CTTCTATATATATATGTTTGTAATTTTTGGTATGCAGTTATATTTTTGGTTGTTGTTTTAATGTGTTCAGCCCAAAACTTCAAGAATTAGCCTTACTGATGATGGGTCAGCAATGTTCATATATGGAAGAAAGTTCATATATGGAAGTTCATTATGGAAGGAAGTGTTTATATATGGAAGAAAGCATCATTAGTGCCTTATTTATATTGAAGTACCTTGTTTAATAATAACAAATTCAGGCTTTGTTTATGTTGTGGTTTTTGATAGGTAATCTTTTTTTTTTGTCTTTTTTTGTGTCCGGCAACGGATCGCAACCCTCGGTGTTGCACCCGCACCTCGCTCAGCCAGTGAGCGGGAACCGGTCTGTATGTGGGATCTGAACCCTCGGCAGGAGCGCCACCGCGCTCCCAAGCGGCGTACTGTAGCAGTGCGCCACCGGGCCGGCCCAGATAGGTAATCTTTTTAAACCCCAGCTATTAAACAACACCTACACTGAGGCATGTGCTGTCTAATATTAATATCACTGATTTATTGGTGGGGCACTTACATTTTTGGTATGAATTTTTGTTACTGTTTTTCCCTCTCTTTTTTTATTTTCTCCTTAACAGTCAGTCACCACCCTAGATAATACTGTAAGAAGTCTCTTTGTGCAGATAAAAGTATCTGTGGATGAAAAATGGATAATGAGTTATAACTAAGCATCCCTCTCTTTCTTTTTTTTTTTTTTTTCCTTTTTGTCTTTTTTACTGACCGGTAACGGGATCGCAACCCTCGGTGTTGCGCCCGCACCTTGCTCAGCCAGTGAGCGGGAACCGGTCTCCACATGGGATCCGAACCCTTGGCGGGAGCGCCTCCGCGCTCCCAAGCGGCGCACTCTCCAGTGCGCCACCGGGCCGGCCCGCATCCCTCTCTTTCTTCTTCAATACTTGCAATATATATGTATAAAGATAATACTGTAAGAAGTCTCTTTGTGCAGGTAAAAGTATCTGTGGATGAAAAATGGATAATGAGTTATAACTAAGCATCCCTCTCTTTCTTCTTCAATACTTGCAATATATATGTATAAAGTCATTATTAGTATGTGATAACTAATCGAAAACAACAAATACTGAGCATGGGAAAGTTTTGACTTCCCTTATTCTTTATTAGGTCACAAGTTTCAGATAATGTCCTAAAATTCAGGAGATACCTACCCTTTGTTTTATATTTCTGTTTTATTTGAATATGTGGATATTATGAATTACTCTTGTT